CTCAAATTCATTTTACTAGGTCAGCAATACCCTGATAACAAAGCCAGAAAGGACACTACAAGAAAACTATAAGCCAATATCTCTGATGAATATGGATGAAAAAATTCTCAATAAAGTATTAGCAAACTAAATTCAGCAGCACATTAAAAGGATCATTCACTGTGATCAAGTGGGATTTATCTTTGGGATGCAAGGATGGTTCAAAATACACAAATCAATAAATGATATATTAATAGAATGAAAAAATGATATAATCATTTCAATAGACACAAAAAAGTATTTGACATTATTCAACATCCAATCATTATAAAAACTCTTAACATATTAGGTATAGAGAGAACATATTCAACATAATAAAGGGTATATATGAAAAACCTACAGCTAACATCATACTCCATGATAGAAGGTTAAAAGCTTTTTCTCTAAGATTAAGAACAAGTGTACCCATTCTTATCACTCATATTCAACATAATACTGGAAGTCCTAGCCAGAGCAATCAGGTAAAAGAAATAAAAGGTATCAATACTGAAAAGGAAGAAGTAAAACTGGCTCTCCTTGTAGATGACATGATCTTATATATAGAAAACCCTAAAAAAACTCACCCAAAATACTGTTAGATCTAATCAATGAATTCAGTAAGGTTGCAGTAGACAAAATTAACATGCAAAATTAAGGAAATTGATCCCATTTACAGCAGCATCAAAAATAATACTGAGGAATAAATTTAAGGAGATCAAAAATGTCTACTCTGAAAACTGTAAGACATTGAAGAAAAAAACCAAAGACGATACAAATAAATGTAAAGGTCTCTTATGTTCATGGACTGAAAGAATTTTTATTGTTAAATGTCCATACTACCCAAAGTCATCTATAGATTCAATGAAATCCCTGTCAGGATTCCAACGACATCATTTACAGAAGCAGAAGAAAAAAAATCCTAAAATATATATGGAACCACAAAAGACCCCAATAGCTAAAGCAATCCTAAGAACAAAATGGTAGGCATCATACATCCTGATTTCAAGCTCTATTATAAAGCTATAATAATTACATAAAGCTAATCTAATCAAAACAGTGTGGTGCTGACATAAAAACAGATACATAGACCAATGGAACAGAATCAAGAGCCCAGAAATAAACCCATGCATATATGGTCAAGTGATATTTGACAAGGAGTCCAAGAGCACCCAGTAGAGAACATGTTCTCTTCAGTAAATGGTGCTGGGAAAATTAGATATCCACATGTAAAAGAATAAAACTAGACCCTTATTTTACACTACTGAAAATGAATTAAAGACTTAAATGTAAGGCAAGAAACCTTGAAACTCCTAGAAGACAATATAGGAAAAAAGCTTCTTGACATGGGCCTTGGGAATGATTTTTTTGGATTTGACACCTAACACACAAGCCACAAAATTAAAAATATACAAGTGGAACTATATCAAGCTTAAACACTTCTGCACAGGATAAGAAACAAACAACAAAATGAAAAGACAACCTACAGAATGGGGAAAATATTTTCAAACCATGTATCTGATAAGAGGTTAATATACAAAATACATAAAGAATTCATACACCTCAAGAACAACAACAACAAAAATCCAATTAAAAAATGGGCAAAGAGGGACACCTCAGTGGCTCAGCAATTGAATGTCTGCCTTCTTCTCAGGGCATGATCCCAGGATCCAGGATTGAGTCCCACACTGGGCTTCTTGAGAGGAGCTTGCTTCTCCCTCTGCCTATGTCTCTGCCTCTCTCTGTGTGTGTCTCTCATGAATAAATAAATCTTTTAAAAAAATGGCCAAAGAAACTGAAGAGACATTTTTCCAAAGAAGATACACAAATGGCCAACAGAAAAGATGCTCAACATCACTAACCAGTAGAGAAATACAAGTCAAAATGACAAGATCATCTCACATCTGTTAGAATGGCTATCATTAAAAAGGTGAAAGAGAACACTGGTAAGAATGGGAAGAAAAGGAACCCTTGTGGAGGGCTGGTAGGAGCATACATCGATGCAGCTACTATGGAAAACAGTATAGAGGTTCCTCAAAAAATTAAAAATAGAGCTATCCATTAATTCTTCTATCTAAAGAAAACACTATGAAGAGACACCTGACCCCCTTGTTCACAGCAGCATTATTTACAACAGCCAAGACATGAAGGTAACAGGTGTCCCCTGATAGATAAATGGATAGAGAAAATGTGGTATATACACACGGGAATACTACTGTGTGGAATATTCCTCAGCCATAAAAAAGAAGAAAATCCTGTCATTTGTGACAACATGGATGGACCTTAAGGGCATTATGCTAGGTGAAATTAAATGGAGAAAAATAAACATCATGTGATCTCATTAACTTGTGGAATCTAAAAAAAACAAAACCAAACAAAACTCACAGAAAAAGATATCAGATTTTGAGGTTACCAAGGGCAGGTGTAGGGAGGGAGAACTAGATGAAGAGGGTCAAAAGATACAAACTTCCAGTTAAAAGCTAAGTCCTGGGAATAGAATGTATGTACAACATGACGGCTCTAGTTAACACTGCTGTATGGTATATTTGAAAGTTAGGAAAGTAAATCCTGAGTTCTCATCACAAGGAGAAATATACATTTTTTAATCAATATGAAATGATGAATGAATTATTGTGGTAATCATTTCACAATATATGTGAGTCAAATCATGATGCTGTACACCTTACACAGTGCTGTATGTCAACTGTATCTCAGTAAAACTGGGTTATAAAAAAAAACACCCTTTGAATTGTGGATAAGATGTTAATCAGGGCACCAAGTAACTAAAATATGTATGAAAACACAAAAAAACCTACTTTAGTGACAAAAAAAAGAAAAAGAAACCCACCACCCTGAGATTTTATATTATGCTTGAATTCAAATATATATTACTTTCTGGATTGCATAATATACCCATTTCATTTTGTAAACAAATACTTAATATTTTCTGATTACAAAAGTATACATAATCACTATGGAAAATTTAAAGAACAAGTATTTATAATAAAAAATAGGTGAAGGGGAATAAGAGCACACTTATCATGATGAGCACTGAGTAACGTACAGAATTGTTGAATCACCACATTGTACAGCTGAAACTAATACAACACTGTATGCTAACTATACTGGAATTAAAGTTAAAAACTTAATAAAAATTAGAACAAATTTCAAAAAATAAAATTAAAAAAAAAATCTTAACCCACCAGAGAGAGACGATTTACCAGGCATAAAATCCTGGTCCATTTAATTTTTCTGCACATGTTACAAACACAATTTCCTTTTTACACAGGGAGGACCATATAGTTTTTTAAAGTTTACTTTTTTACTTAACTGGATGATAGTATTATCTCCCTTTTGCCCTTAGATATTGTTCCGTAAAGTTTAATATCTTCATAAAAGTTTGTCATGTAAACACACTGCTGTTAACCCTTCTTCCCGTGGTGGTTCTTTGCTTTTCCCCATGTTTCCACTGTGTAAAAAGCTATAAGGGCAATTTTCAAATATAGCTCTCTATGTGCATCTCTGATAATGTCCTCAGGATAAATTCCTAGAAATAAAATTTCTGGGTCAGAGTACACAAAATTTTAAGATTTTGCTACATACTGTCAAATTGCTATACCACCTTCTCTGAGAGAAATTTATATTCCCAAGAGCAGTGTATAAGAATGTTTGTCTCGTGTTACTCCCCACCACTAACTACTGCCTTAAAAAAAAAAATATTTGCACATTTCTCATTGTTACACATTTTTATTTTTGGTTTGATTTGTACTTTTTTGATTACTAGTGAGTTTGGATGCTTTTTCACATTCCTTAGAGATACTTCCTCTCTGTGAATTTATGTGTATTGCCCATATTTCTATCAAGAGTGTTCATCTTTCAAAGAAATTTTTCCTCAGAGTATATTGTGATATTTTTACTAATGCTTTGGTGCTGGTTCAATTTTAGACAAAGTCTTTCCTCAACAACAGCAGAGGCATTGTTCTTCTTCCTGCAATTTCATGAGCTAAAAACCAATCTAAAAAATCCAGGCTGAGGCAAAGGTTGCACCTAGAGAAATTAAGTCGACCCTAACCCCAAACAGGAGGTGGCACCTGGGGGGGTCCTTAGTCCACAGGAATGGTCTACCAGGAACTTTTCCAGAAAGTGTAGATCTTGATCGGTGGTCTTTCTCATTCAATGCAAAGCCCACCTCCTACGCAAATCAGGATTTTGTTGTTGTTGTGTTTTGATTCTGGCTTTTTCCATGTTCCAGTGATCCTGGTCTTGGTGGTTCTACTGTGACACAGAAAGGAGAGGATGCAGGGGAAAGCAGACCACAATCCATCTGAGGATGTTATGTCCCCACAGTCCTTTTGTTAAGGCACTGGGTGTTGGCAGCCCTCTTAGCACAAGGATGCTGCTTGGGTTTATATTCACTTACATCCATATTACTGTTGGTAAGAACAAAGCTACCTATCACAGATGCTACACAATTGATTGTTTAATGACTCTGCAGCTGCAGTTTCTACCCTGGGAGTGGGGTGGGGTGTGCATGTTCACACAACTGTGTTGGCACCATCGAAGTCACGCAGAAGAATGCTGTGCTATGAGCAGATTTTCTGCAGTGACAAGAAACATACTTGAGTTTTTCTCTCTCCGTTTCACAACTTTTGTCTACCAGCCACTGGCAGAAGTCACCATTTCTTCAGCTAAGAAATGCTGCTTTCCAAAATCCTTTGGCAGAGTTTCCCAGAGATTTGTTTTTCTGCTTCTTCCTAATTTAGAAACAGTCTTCAAAGGAAAAAAAAAAAAAAACAACTTGACAAATCAATGTGAGAAGAAACCAACTCTGATGTAATTTTGCATTTCTCTCCCCAGAACGCTTCAGAGTTTACCATCTACAACCAATACAATCCAGACGGGATAATTTGGGTGGAAAAAAAAAAACCCCAAAACAAAAATGTGTGTACCCTAAGATGAGACCCTTTTTTATTCAAGAAGCAACGTGTGATACAAATTCAAGATTTTATTAAAAATTATTTGTGATTTAACACAATATTCCAATGTTTATAGAAAGCTTAGAACAAAGTAAAATAACAAGTCATGTGAATGAACACAAGAATGAACAGTGTTAACTGTGACATTTAAGTGATCACATGATTTTAATTATTCTTTTGATAATATGCAACTTTGTGAACATCTATTCAGGGAACGGAACTCCCGTGCCTACTATGGAATTTGCAGTTGAATTAGAGCTTTGTATCCTGCCTGTGGCATTTTTAAGCAAACAAATGGAAACAGCTTTAAGAATTCATAAAAGTCTACCACCTACCAAAAGCATTTGGAAGGTAAAGTGGTAAGTGCTAGGAGGAGAGAAAGTGGCACACACACGGCATTTACTTGTGGGACACAGTGGCGGGGAGCGCGAGTGATAATGAGAAAGGCAACCAGAAGTCCACAGCCCAGGCCAACCCGTTATTTGTTCTTGGCTGTCAGTGGTTTCCGGCTGATCTTTTTCGATTTGTCATTATTTTTCTTTGGCGGTTCTGGGTTTGCTTGCATGTGTCTGCCATACAGGCTGCAAAGAGAGAGGGAGAGAGGGTGAGATCCAGTTTGTTAACACAGGACAAGCTTTTATTAGCAGGGCGTTAAAGAACAGACCAATTTCCAGAAATATTCAGGAAGCCAAAGAAAACTGAAAGATCACTCCTGCTTTGTCCAGGTCACGCGTTCTAGTGAAGAATATAAACTCTCACACACAGCACACGATGAGGTCAGTTCTGGACAGGTGTCCTGGGATTTCACATTTGCTGGGTGGAGTGCGAGGACACCAGAGGAAAATCTGGGACTGAGAACCGGCAATACCCAGCCCAGCTGTTCCAGCATGAAGCTCGAATGGCTATGAGTGTGTAAGTCGATGTGTTTAGGACGATGACAAAAGCCGGGTCGAACTGATGAGACACAGTGTCCATTTAGTGAGAAGTGAACACCATGCCCAGCCAGAAAAGCCCAGGGGCTGGATAATGTGACAGGGAGCAGCGGTGTCCAGGCCTGCTCCAGCTGCTCACACGTGATTGATAGCGCTGGGGTGGCGACCACACATCAATGCCACGTTAATAAGTGCCGCTGATTAAATGTTGACAAAGTACCCGACAATTACCGTGGATGGCATTCATCGCAGAGCGAAGCTAGCTTGTGGCTGAGAGGATTGAACCCAACAGCAGATAGTAATTAATCGATAATTTATGAGTAATTCTGATTAAACTAAATTAAAAGCCGCCCTAAAATAAATTCAGCTCAACCTTAACTCCTCTTATTGATATTACTATGTCCCAGAGAGAGCCTGGAGTGTGTTTCTGTTCTTCCGGAGGAAAGGCAACGCCTGATCGGCTGGTTGCAATCGCCCTGTGCCACCTGCAGGGGGGGATGACACAAAGACTAACCTCCTGGGACAGGATGTCCCTTGTTCTAGAGTCCACTTAAGGAACTCCTACCTCTCTTGACAGTTGCACCTTGCCAGGCAAACTGGTGGCATACACGGATGCTCAAGGACACTGACACCGTGGTTGGTGGGCCAAAGGATGGACCACGCACACAGGGCTGGCCAGCTGGTCAAGCAGTAGGGGAAGCTGATAGGTGACAGTGTGGTCTATCTTCTCCAGAGGCTTCCAAGTCTCCCCAGAAGTGTTATGAGCAGGATCTACCACCATGACCACGAAGATAGGTCTCTGCTCACATGGAGTTCAGAATGCAGACTGTGGAGCTGGTGGCACTGACCTACGAGCCAGAGGATGTCGGTCTGGCCAGGTGCTGGGAATGTCTCCAGGTAAAGGAGGGACCATCTCCCGGGTTAAGGAGGTAGCACAGCCTGACAGTGAGCCACCCTGTGCCCCCATTGGAGAAACACCTCTGTCCCCAGGAGGGTTGTCACCCAGGAAAATGGATCTTTAAATCCATGTAAGGCCCCATCCCCTACGCTTTAAAAAGGGCCACTGATCCCCCTGAAGTCTGAGTCCTAGATCCCAGGAAAGGAACCCCTGGAGAGGTAATTTCAGCTAACCTAGGGCTCCTGCAGTTGCTGTCTCAACCCTGGGAACCTGTGACTATCTGCTTACATGGCAAAAGGGGCTCCACAGAGGTGATTAAGCATCTTGCGAAGGCAAGACTGTTCTCTGTCATCTGGGAACCCCCCCCCCCACCTCACCCCTGCAGCCTCTCTCCCAGATGTGTCAAACAGTTAAAGAAGCAGCCAAAGCAGACCCCTCCATTAATCTCCTCGGCTTTAGCAGCACAAAACCGTGAAATATGCTTTCCCCTGTAACGGCCCCGGCCCTTCCCCCGCTCCGAGGACACAGCTTCCTTCTTGCTAACACAGCAGGGTGGTGTCCCCAGAGGCCTCTGCTCTGCAAGCTCCTCCAGCACACAGCAAAGGCCTGACTCTGGTCTGTGCATTCCCAGCTTCTTTCCGGCTTCAGCCAGCTCTCCTCTATTTCCCCAACCCTGACCCCTGGAAGGGAAAAAATATCCCTGTTATTCCTCACAGATAGCATCCAACTTTAAGGGTTACAAAACTCTGCAGAAATACAGCTCCGCAGCGCGTGAGCTGGGAAATCCGGCAAGAGCTACACAAATAAGACGTCAGAGGAGGGAAAAGAAGATCTGACAGGGGCCCACGTGTCACATCCTGAAGGAGCAAGAGCCAAGGTGGGCACGGAGGCCTTCCGAGAAGAGGCGGGGGTTCCGCTGGGCCTGATGGTGGTAATCCAGCCAAGTCATTTCAGAAGGGGGTGCAAAAGCCGTCTGGAACTCAGCAAGGCTCCTTTGGTTAGGAAGCGACTGGAAAGGTCCAATGTTTCCATGTCTGCCTTTTTTATAGTCAGGCCCCACTGTGCTTGGACCTCCTGGGCTACACAGCAAGTCACCACAAAGGGGCCAGATCAGAGATGGCATTCCGGGACTTGGTGTTTAAATCCCACTCTTGAAACTTACGAAGCTGCTGACTCTGGGCAAATCATTAGCATCCCTCACATCCCTCTCACAGTGCCTCAGTTTCTTCTTTTGTTAAAACAAAACAAAACAAAAACCATGCTATTTTCTTAGAATGGTGGTTGCAGTAGTTAAATAAGCCTAGCACCTGGTATGCCTCCTGGAAGTGATCAGTGGATGCTTGCTGAAAATCAGGACTAATGTGGGGTTGTAGTTAGAGGGATTAAATAAAGATAATTATATGATTACTTCTTTAGGGCTCTTTCCTCTGAAAAAAAAAAAAAAACAGCATGATATTTTCTATCAATGCCAAATCCCCAAGCATCCCTGGAAGATTTTAATCCTCTTGGGAGAAAGCAACTAGGGCAGAGCTAAAGGCACCTCCTCCCTTCCTCAGTAAGTCACTGGCAAGGCACAGATGCTGCTGTGCCCTCCACCGATCCCTTACCCTCCAGCTGTGCGGGCAGGTGAGAGTGGGGCTTTACCCGGTGGCCGTTCCCACATGGAGACATCACTGGGGCACAGCAGTTCATGATGAGCATTTTAGGGTCCGAAGTCTGAGTGGGGGTGCTGTTCCCGGCTCTACCAGTGATTAGCTGGGGGGTTTCCATTTGGTAAGGAAGTGTGGAAGCAGAGTAATGCCCCCTGACACCTGTGAACATATGATATCACAAAGGGACTCTGTGGAGGTGACTGATTGAGGCTCTTGAGCTGGGAAGACTACACTGCATCTTCTGGGTGGGCTCAGTGTCATCACAAGGGTCCTCCTAAGAGGGAGGCAGGAAGGTGAGAGTCAGATCTAAACCTGTTACAAGCTGGCTTTGAAGACTGGAGGGAAGGGGGCTTCCAGCAAGAAATGCAGGCAGCCTCTAGAAACTAGAGAGGCAAAGAAGGGCCTTCTCTGGAGCTTCCAGAAGGCTGCAACCCTGCAGACATCTTGATTTCAGACTTCTGACCTCCAGAACTGTAAGAGGATATATTTGCTTTGTTTTCACACACCAAGTTCACAGCACTTTGTTATAACAACAACAACAACAACAACAACAACAACAGGGAACTGATGATATAGTACATGAACCTTTCTGGGTTCCATAGGGCAGAGAAGTGAGGCATCTGCTTACCTTTGGCAGAAAAAAAAAAAAAGGAGACTTTCTGGGGGGCAGCAGGTCATTGAAAAGAAGGAAAAGTTTAAAAACTGAGTTTAAAAAAAAAGTGTGCCCCAAAGGAAAAAGGGTGCTGTTTCTACCAGAAGAGAGAACAGGTAGGCAAAAGGTCTCCTCTCTGCTATAGTTGGACGGGATGGTCCCTGCCCGCTCTTCTCTGAAGCTAATGCCCTGGCGGATGTTTTGAATGCACCCAAGATTTAACTTCTAGAGGTGACTGACTGCATGAGACGTGGAGAGGCCAATGCCATTGAAAGCAGTTTCCCAAGAGGAGGGGGCATGCCCCGCCACACAGGCCAGCTAGGAGGGGGAAGTACCAGGGTCAGTTAGGAGACAGAAGGAACAAAGCAGGGAGCAGGACCCAGGTCCTTCATGGCAGTTTCATGGGAAGGGATGGGTGGGTTTGAGTGAATTTAGGGTTGGACAGTTTGAATAATTTCCAGGCACTCGAGATCAGGGTGGTCTCCAGTTGTATGGGATCGGGCCCTGGGGTGGTTTAGGGCAGGGGAAATACTGGCCTGGTGTGTGTGTGGGAGTTCCAGGATGGAGGTGGTCGAGGTCGTTTGGATTGGGTGGTTTATGTATCAAAGACAGGCTGGCAGGTTAGTTCGTTGTTATCTCTAGGAATTAAGCTAGCCCTGGAAAGGGCAGTCTCTCCCTAGCCAGCAAGACCTCCAAGATGTCAAAACAGCATAAAAGAAGATAAGAAACATGACTAAATACAGTCACAGCCTTCAGGATGGCTTTTGTCCTCCAGATCCCATATCCTCCCCGCATTTGCATGACAAACGTCTCCCTCATTCTTAGTGAAGACAGGCTCTCTGGCTCCATCTGCTTCCACCTCCACCTGGGAAGATCCCAGTCATCCCTCAGACCCTGGCACAAGGTCCTTCCCAAACCAGCATGTTTCCTTAGGGGCCTCTGTCCTGCCCTCCAGGAGCTCACAGCGCCCTGCCCTGGGAGTCCCCAGACAACAGTTCTGAGGCTTCCCTCACCTCTGCATTGCGGCACCCTGCTCGCCCTCAATGACCTGTGGCTCTGGGAAAGCGGTTAGCTACCTCGTAGGGCTTGGGCGAAGAGTAAACCAGATATAGGAGGACCTGTCTGTGCAGGTACTCAGCAGGTGTTCCAGAATGGCAGCTGACACCTTTCGCCTCTCACAAGGGTCCAAGACTCGGGCTAAGCTGGCCAGTTTCTTTCATGTTGCCTTTGAGCACCTAACAGAGCCAGGAATGTGGCTTTGCCCTTATGTGCCTGAAGAGGGAGGAGGCTTCCAGGGGCCCAGTAATCTGGCCCCGCCAACTTGAGAGTGGCAACAAAGGGAGTGGTTCAAGGTCACCAGCAGTGTGGCAGCTGCTGGCGAACAAAATGTTCAACCCATAAAGTGGAGGCACCCGATGCCATGGAGTCTTAGAAACTCTTCTCTCCC